ATCTTGTTACATATTTGTGTGGCTTGACACCAACACCTACCGTGTTAGAGCGTACAATGCGGGCTGTCGGTACTACAAAGGGCGCCCAGACGATTTGCGGCCTGCGATCTCGAATATATCGCGACAATACCATAGTAAAGTCGTAAGACGATGTATGGACGAGTGCGTTCTTTGTTTGGCGCAGATTGCATCTTTTCCGGCTAATAGAATGTCGGTTTTAGGATTGATGCTTTTGTATTGAATTTTTTTGCAGAGTTCCATACATATTGTAATCAAATTTGTCATATCTATAGGTAGGGTAAAATTTAATTTTACAATCAAACATAGAGTTACCTAGCTATTAAATGCTCTCTTTTTATTATTTTTGTGTCACCTGGAAAACAAATTAACCTGATACAACATTATTTAACGAAGTATGCTCAAAAGTAAGCTCAAACCTATGAGGCCGACATTTTTTAAACATAATATAAAAACTGCAATAACCATAGATAAGATATTACCTACTTTCTGTTAATATTGATGAATATAATCATACTCATGAGACTAGATGTCAGACGTAGGTTAATCCCCAAAACTCATCAGCCGATATGTGAAGTACTTAGTCATCGTATAAAAAGTACGGATTAAGGTATGCTAACTGTTTACCTAAGTATACCTAAGCCATGAATAAAAAAGTGCATGTGGATATCCTAAAAGGGCTTCTAATTAAGCATTCAGTATTCTTAAGAATTTTAATACAAACTTAGATACCAGACCGTATTACCATACTAATAACATTTATTACTAATGCACGTTTACTTAATTTTACCATTAATTATACTTAAATTAAATTCCGGCTAGTAGGATATTATTGTCAAGCCGCCCCCTTTGGTTGCTTAGTCATTACACACGCGTTCGATGCCCAGTGAAAGGTTTTCGTTGGTAGGTCTGTTATTTTAAAAGAAATTTTTAAATTTTTTAACCAGACCAATATCAGCTGTTTTTCACTTAATATATAAACGTATAATAAAACATTTAACTATTTATATTATTTTATCTTTTACTATCTAGCCTGGCATTGCTTTATTAAATGCTTCCAGCACAAAGGCCCTACAAGGAATAGGTATCGAACACAAATATCAAAAATTAAAAATATTAACAGTGACTCATTACGTATGTAGCCGACCATGGCTAGTTAAGCGTTGTCGAGGTAGTCAGATCGCACAAGATTTACAAACTGATTAGAGATTAATATACAAATTATATAGAATAACTATTGCAATCAACATTATTAACTTCAACAGGAAAATTATGCCAATAGAAAGCGCCAATTCTACTAAATATAATGATAATTTTGAAACAAAAGCACTCCAGTTAAATCAGTTATGGTCGCACTAATTTATGTGATAGTATAATAGCTGTTTATGGAACAATGCGCTTGCGACGGTAGCTTGTCGCCCACGTGTTTAATACATCTGGAACTTAGTAGGAAAATTATAAACCAATACACTTAACTAGATTCTTTTGAGGTTATGATATGGAGAGGAATACGAAAATTGATGAGACAAAGACTCTTTTGTTTGGTTTATTTTAGTGGAACGTAATAATGATAAATTATTAATAGCTATTTGATGTTTATAAGAGAGAAATATATAAGCAGGTTCACATACGGTTTTTGTTTTCTGGCGTTTAATGTCTTGGAGTACCTTATTCTCGATAAAACACGATTATGTCCATAACCGCACGTTTCTTGGTTACTTTACCTGTAGTCTAAAAACTAAAATAACAATTCTATATCTCCATCGATACTGATAATTTAAAAATGGTATTGAAACTTAAATTTAATTATTTTATTTTAAAATGAATATTAACTGTTTGAGGTGATAAATTCGTGTATTTGTTTCTATAACCATCTACCTACTGTAACTATTACTCATCAATTAATCGTTGTTTGCATGTAATAGATGAGCAGTGTTGGTGTAGTGGCATCAGCGTGCGACTTTCATACCTGAGGTCGTAAGTTCGATCCCTAGGTAGTGCCACCAGATTTATATCATTGCATATAAATTGATTCGTACTCTGCAGGATTGTTAAACTGAAATGGCTTGAACACTTCATGTTCACACAAACCTTATACGATATAGACTTAATAAAGATCTTGTAAATGAAATTACAAAACATGAGAAATTTAAAATGAATCAACTAAACAGAGCCATCTAGTGGCATAAAAGTGAACTTCGTGTTTTGTTGTTCATACTGTTTAAGTTTTCAATAAAATTATATTAGTAAAGGGTTGTTGCGAAATAAAATAACCACTTACAAATTGATATGTCTTCTTTTATACACAGTATAATAAACTATTTACACGCTGTACAATGCAACAAATAATCTATTAAGTACTCGCTTACACTAAACACACTTTTACAAACACATAAAATACAATATCTTGTGTGATATTAAAATAATCAAAATCTAAAAAAATAACTCAAAATATGTACTTATTTCGAGGTTACGATGTAAAAACATTTACGAGCATATAAGGTTGATACAATTGTGCCTACAATTTAGACAAATCATTTCAACTTTTAAATAAAATTTAGGCCTCTTCTAACACATTTCATGTATTGAACTAATTCATAATTTTGTGTAAAAATAATACAATAATGTTACCAACATTTCTAATCATATAAGACAGACAACACATCTACATCTAATACTAGCAATTACCTAACACACATTGATAGTTCAGTCTGTCGTTTAAATAACGTTGGTAACTTCATCTAACTCATTTAAATGCGAATGATATTACAAGACTAGCTGTCAATTTCTTTGGCTACGATGTTCTAAGCGACTTAAATAAAATTCATTCACTGTACAAAAACTAATAAATAAAGATGTAAATGGCATATAAAATCGGTGCTTAAATTTAACAGAAATATGGAATCTTATAAAAGTAAAAAATATTTTATACTTATAGTAAATTATTACGCTATCTAACATTATACATTATTGACATCAGTCAAATTAGTGGAATAAACTATACAAGATGGCGTTTTCGTACAAACTAAGTTTCTAAACTTTTAAAATAAGGTTTTTCTATCGTAGTTCCTTCAAAGTAATGTTTTCTCTGTCAAGCATTTAATGATAATTATGTAATTCATGTTTTTGTATTTATTTATCAATAAACTAAACAATACCAAAGAATAAATTTGCAAAAAGTGTACTTAGCCGACAGATGGCGTTTTTTACAATAATCAATAAATCTTTGTAGGATAGAAAAATCTTTTCTTATTTCACACCCAGATTAAATAATATTTACTTAGCTAAAGAAAAAGATCGATACAAAAAATAATTGCTTTCTACACCTATCATCTACATTCGTGCGTTCTTCATATATTATCTACATTTTCATTATGGAATAATCTTTCTTTTTACAAGCACCGATATGTCAAAATGGCCTATATACCTAAACTACATTTTTCAAATGTAATAATTTAGAATTTGATTTTTACAATTCTAGGGACATACTAACACAATATCGAATTTTAGTTCCAATTATATCTATGAAATATATAATACAAACTAATAATATTTATTTTATGATGTCTGATTTGTGACATTCGATATAATTCTTTCAAAGATCCGTTCCTTTACAAAATAAAATATATACTATGAAAAATAAGTTATTTACTGTAACAAAAATAAAATTGCAAATAAGTCATTTTTGTAATAATTCATTACTTTTCTTATCTTTGTACAAGTTTTACAGTTATTATGCCGGGAGTCGAATCTTTGGGTACTTGCGTCAACTATTAAGATTAATGAATGTTTAGCATTGCTTTAAGGTTCTTCTGTTTGGATATTAATCAACCCAAAAAATTTAATTAAATAGAAGCTCACAATATATGTATTTTTTGGTTATTATTAAAGTTAATGAATAAAAAATCAAAGGAAAACTTAATATAGCGCCATCTAACGGCGACATCGGGACTAATTCAGACTTCTTTATATTATAGTTTACGGCTACAGTATCGACGGATATTGGGACTTTAAAATATCAGGGCTTTCATGTACTTATTTGATTGTGCCATAAAATACTTAAATTATTTAAATGTATTAACAAAAAAATTCATTAAATCTACAAAAGCTGCCATGTTTTAAAATAAAATGGCACGTATAAAATATATTGAGATTTTCTCTCAGAAAATCTACTTGCTATGTAAAATAGTTCATGTAGTCAATTTGAAATTATTATTGCAAGTATTATGCGAAATTTTCTTTCCAATAAAGTAAAAACATAAGGTAATGTGTGAAGGATATAAATGAGTCATTAATTCTACTTTACCCTGGTTAATGGGTGATTATCCCATTGTCTTTGCTTACAGCCTTCGAAATTTATTGTCCACACATCCGAAACTAGGAGCGCTGCAATTGTATTGTCAATCGAGATTTTAAACATAAAAAAATGTTAAAAGCAGACATTTCTAATTAAGTCCATTCCTAGTCAAAGACGACTAAAAATTAAATATCTAGATTGACATTACAAGACATTACGAACAGAACGATTTTCATATGAAATAACAATTCCTTACACTTTATGCGACATTGAAACATACAAATTGTCAAAAACTTTACTTAAACTTAAATGGTGGCCCTACTTGAACTACGCACCCTTTAACAAACATCTATAGGCCACCTCAATCGAATCTTTATCTTAATATAACCATAAAACGTACATACGTAACGTACGCGCACGTATTCGTTTCGTACGTGATAGATATTTTTTAATTTTAAAGATTTAAAAATCGTTAAGCCCGAGTAGGTTATGCTCACATTCAGACCACGCAAGTGGAGGAGCAGCTCCTAAATTTGCAATTTTAAAACATATTTATCAATACTAATCAACCGGTACCAACAAAGTACAAGTTGTAGTTTTAGCTTTTACGCGCTAACTTTAAACCTAGTGAAGGTTTTCGAAGCCTCTAGGCGATGTAACCTTAATATCGACAGGTTATCAATACTCACAAAGCGCCAATTTCTGGATACAATTGGGGTATGCCGGACCCTGTTTCTCTATATTGCAGTGGATCAGCTCTGAATTCGACCGATTTTAAGGCCATATGTCCATATATTTTCGTGAATTTGTCGATGCAAGCTGAACGCTGCGTCATATGTTTAGCGTCCGCCGAAAGCATTTCAGTATTCGTACATTCCGGGCATTTGAACTTCTTTCGCGGTGTCACCTGTAATTTTAAGTTTAATAGAAATTTAACACAGGACATTCTTTCCTATAGCTTATAAATAATTATATTATTATAATTTATGTATTTCCAAGCTATAGTCATACGTTACGTGAGATTCAGTTGCTTTTATATTGGTTGTGCATACATGCACACACGGTAGAATTACTGTGTGTGTTTTTTTGTTTATTACATTAAATTTACTGATCTGATAGCTTAAATGTGATTTAAAGACAATGGATTTATAATTAAATAAAAATAACACACGACATTCTTTGCTGTCAAGCTATAGACATACAAACACAGTAATTCTACCGTGTGTGCACATGTGTGCACTATGTAAAAACATTCTCACGTAAAATATTACTATAATACAGATGATGCCATATTTAAAAAAAAAAATAATGTTTTGTGCGTAATTTCAACGTGCCACCAGTATGATGAACGTTCAATTGATACTAAGTCATGATGCACGTTTGATTGCACAAGACCAAACTTTGTAGAAAAATGTGTCCATTTTGTATTCTTTGAATCTTTGTAAAATCTGCATTTACGTAGCTTTCGGAAATCGGAAAGTTTGTCGGAGATTTGAATAGCCCGACTGATGCTTATTTACCAGATCTGTTAATAGTTATTCTATGACAACATTTATTTCAATTTATTGAAAGATCCTAGATGATGTGAACTCCGAAAATGCAGAAATAAATGTTAAAATACCTTAATAGGTGCCTTCCTTGTGACATTAGCTACGAGGAAATTCATTGCAATATCTTCGCAGTTGAAGTTGTCGTCCACCCATTGTCTGATCTCTGAAGGCATCTTATATGTGTAGTACCACGACCAGATTTTGTGGTGAAACGCTGCTCCAGTTAACACCTTTAATTATAAATAAATATTTGTGTTACCCAAATTAAAAATACACTCTATAGACACGGGTAAGTAAAATAATTATTATTTAGAGAATTTCGTTTTTTTTATGTAACAGGAGGCAAACGGGCAGGAGGCTCACCTGATGTTAAGTGATACTGCCGCCCCCGACACTCACATTGCCAGAAGGCTCGCAAATGTGTTGCCGGCCTTTCAAGAATTGGTACGCTCTTTTCTTGAAGGTCCCTTAGTCGAATTGGTTCGGAAATACTTCACTGGGCAGCTGGTGCGCGGCAAAAACTGCCTTAAAAACGGTTAGTTGTGGAACGACGGACGTCGAGGTGGTACGGATGGTATTATGTATTCTGGCTTTTAATTAAATCTAGTGTAGTGTATAATAAACGCGTTAAGAACAATATTAATTTAATAAATAGGTATCCTACCTATAGCATAACAACAAAATACGATTGAAACAGAAATGAGAAATTTTTATATCGAAACTTGATTACTATTGAGAATCACTCGTGAATCATAATAAACATGTTTTTGTGATGCGGAAAAGTTTTGTTAAAGGAGGTATATAAACTTTGCCACAGAATATAGCATTAACGCAATGTTTAACGGTAATCAGAGTAACCAAAATGACACTCGTAATAGTAATTATATAGAGAACTATTAACTAAATTATAATTATGAAACTTTACTTTATAAGAGCTTTGAAAATTATTTTAGCGAATTAGAGTTCTTTAGTTATAAGTATTATAAGTTATTTAGTTGTAATTTTATTTGATATCTGTAACTATGGAATATTTTATTTGAATTAATTTTTGCTACAGGTTTTCGTGACTTAATTGATAATGCACCTTTTTGTGTTGAATAAATTCCTACTACTGAATATCGCCTCCCGTAGTTCCCGAGTTCGATTCCGCACATAGTAGTCATTACACAGACTAATAAAACAAAGATGTTATACCATAGATATTTCGTTCGTCCATTCACTGTGGTACTTCCAGGTGGCGGTGACATTGTCCCAGACATGCAGACGGGACGGGAAACCCACTATCCGATCTGGAAACTCTCGCCACACGTCAAACCTGGAAATAATTAAATTTCACCATTTAAAATTATTTTATTTAATAAGAACACAAAGGTGTTCATCATTACCATTTTCAGTGACTCACGTTTAATTAAAAAAGATTCTTTTAATATAAATTTTATGTAAAAAATTTGTGTCAAAGAGGTAATTTTACTTTCTTATATATAATGATTCATATCGTAACTCAGGTCTTGAACTTAGTTTCATATGTTACACTTACACACAAATAACATTACTGTTTCTAGATATTTAAAGTATTGTTTTTTTTTTTTTTTTAAGTTTGTAGTATACACGCGTATATTTAATGAGCAGTGTCGAACGAGAAATGAACCCGAAAAAAAAATTGAAAAACAAAAAAATTTTAGTTCAGTAAAACTTCGACTGCCTTAAAAAATTTTTTTGTAATATTCACGACAAACACTTAAACTTTCTCCGCAATAAGCTTTTTTCTTCTTTTTAACTACATCTAAATAAATTAATAGCACCACAATTTTTAGAATTAAGATTTTTCAAAAATTTTGATTATTAAAACGTATTTTTTTTGTGTAGGTGGTATACAAAATAATTGTTAATATAACGTGAATTTAACAAGTAAGCCATATTTCGACCGAACGAATCGAATTTGTTAAATAATGGCATCTTAAACAAAAGAGGGTCAAATTTTTCTTTAATAATATTATTGTCTCCTCTTTTTAATTAATTAAGTTAACCGTAAATATCAAGGGTGAAATAGAGTGTTAATCCATCAAATAGATACAATCTTTTGGAACGTCAATAGACAGCAAATTAGCAAATTAAAAAACACAATTTTTAAGCAATAGTAAAATTACAAACCCTATTCAGGATTGGCACTAATATTAAACATAATTAATTAATTTAAAATTTTGGTGTTATTAGCTAGACGCAGAGATGTATAAAAAGATTTGAGGGACAGAATCTACAAGTAAAATAGAATAAAAACTTACCCAAACTCCAATTCATCAGGGGTTAACATAATAATATCGTCGTCAATGGTCAACTGACATTCGGTCTCAATGTCATCGTAGGGAAAGAACCTATTCGACAGCTTGTTCTCTTTCGTTCGTATCACTTTCAACGGCTTGTTAATCACTGGCCACTCGGAAGCTGAAAAAATAAAATTACTATTATTATTACCACTCTATTACATTACAGAAATGTTGTTAGTCGGCGATTAATACACCTCGTACGTTTGAAACTCAATTATGCAGCAGTTCTATTATATCTATTAGATATGTACAATTTATATGTTTTTAAATAGGACCCCTAATAACACATGAGGCACGCGATCTGGCAGATGTGGCCGAGAAGCTAAGCAGCAGGGGAGTGTCAAATCTCTCCTTACCTAAAAAGGGACACAACGAACACTAATTGTTCGTACTTTAAAACCATCTAACCAAATTAGCATATGTAAAAACCAAAATTTAACCAACAACATTTATATATTATATTTATTATCAATAAAACACGTAGAAAGTGCCTGCTTTTTTCCACCATACGGGAATTCATACACTAATTACTATTTGCTAGATCTGTGACGTATCTGACCGAGAGGACCAGGGAGACTTGCCTTTAAATTTTCTTTTTTCCCTTGCCTTAATGACGAGCTTTTTAGCAGCAGAGCAGTATATAATTGTTGTTATTTTGATAAGCGACTTTTGCTTATCTGTATTGGAATATGTATTAAATTACAGTGATAACATTGGAAAATTACACACGCCGAACACAATAGAGGTAGAGGAATTTGCGTAATTAATCCAATAAGATTAATATTCCTTCAAATTAATTTTCAGATTTCACTGTAGCATCTAAAATATTCACGATTCGTACTCTAATAAATAACTGTGAAATCATTTATTCCGATGAAAGAAGATTCTGCGTGGTTACGAGTTGCAATACGAGCGTTAAACTGATGTTAGCAAACTGAAACTGACAGATTTCTTCGCAAAGGCAATAATTTTCTTATAAATAAAGCTTCAATCATTTTAATATCGTGCTTTGCGTTTCGTTCTCCTTTGTAGTAATAATATTTTTAGAACAATGAACTATTTTTTTTCTTATTAAAGACACTTTTTAATATGGATACGATCAAAGTTTTTTTTAAAACGTCACCGACACACTATTAACCACCATTATAAAGGAACATAAACACTAGATATCTACCAATATATAAAAAAAAGGAAGGAACTTCTTGTAGTAGTAGGCCCTTCCTTCTTTTGTATACATATATATAATAATATGCTAATATGTGTAGCATGAGTTCCGATCTCTTTGGACTGTTTTAAAAATTTTGTATTAATTTTTGACACAAATATGAACTTCACCGGGTCATCTAATTATTAATAAAACCTGTTCTTTGACGAAAAAATTGTTGATGGTAAATTCTATATTTAAGCTACATTATTCCCTAACTTAAATTACGTGTTGGAAATCATTTGATAAAATTTTTACGTTATATATTTCTGTGGGATGAGACACGTATAAAGTCGTCATATTTAATATAAATAATATTAGTTAATAAGTTCGTCACTCTAAATATATGAAATATTGTAAAAACTAAAAAATTCAAAAGACGATGCTTTACTTCATTTTAGTTCAAATAAGGTTTGTTATTTTACTATAGCGTTAAAATAGTCTTTATGAAAATTTCTTGCAAATTTGCTATCTATTTACTTTTCAAAAGATTGTATCTATTTGAAGGATTAACACTCTACTTCATTCTTGATATTTACAATTAATTAACCTAATTTTGTTTAAATTTAATTAAGAGAAAAAATGTGATTCTCTTTTGTTTAAGATGCAAAAGTTTTGCTATCCGCCATTATTTAACTAGTTTAATCAAAATATGGCTGACTTGTTAATTTCACGTTATATTAACAATTATTTTGTACACCACCTACACAAAAAATTAACTTTTAAATAATCAACACTTAAAAATCGTAATTCTTAAAAATTGTGGTTATTGTAATATCTTTAGAGCCATCACTTATGTAGTATACCTATCACTACTATGAAAATTTACACATTCTGTTTGTGATCGTGGAAAAATTACAGTTATCGAACTGTTAGAAGCTGCTGGTATAATACAACTACAGTGGACTCTGGATAATTTGAATTTTTGCCAGTCCCTTGAAATATAATAATAATAATAATTCTTTATTTGCTCTCATATAACATTTAAAACAAACAGTACGATTACAATTAAGAAGGTATTGTGAGACTGGTTTCAAAGCTAGGTAAGAGCCTGTGATATGGATAACCAGACTTCTATTCCACAGCAAAGTCATACTGGGTTATAACAAAAATTACATATATGAGTAAGCAAACAAAATTTAAAGATGCTAAAAAAGAAAAAAAAAAGTCAACTTACTTACTACAAAATAAAGTTGTATGGGTGTATGTGTGTGTGTGAGTGTATGTGTTTGAGTATGATAGACTGTGTGTTTGGGTGTGTGTGATAGAGTATTGAGGAGGGTGTGTGTAGGTTTGTATCAGACACACGCTTGAGACCATTATATGTGGAAATTATTTTAATATACCTAGCAGATTTTCCGTTTGGTCATAGTTCAAAGTAAGTAAAAATTTATAGACTCGATAAATTAAATAAAATAAAGGTCCCCTCGGTAATTTGAAGTTGAAGGAATAGATCTTGCTCGCCAACAAGCGATAATTTGAAGTCCGAGCTAATTATATCCGTTTTCTCTCTATAATTTGAAATGTTTATCATGCACAGACCTGTCAATTGTATACATAAATGAGATAAAAAGTTAATGTTTGATGACATCATGACAATGATAGACTGAAGTCGCTTACTCAATAACTACTTCTTTTCGAAATAAACATTATTGTATTTAATTGTTATACATAGTAATAATATAGACAGAATAAATCAGGAATCACGATGTTTGATCAAACTCATATTTACCTGGGTAACCTCGTTGTTATTTAAACGCTTGTAATTTTGAACTTTTGGTAATTTAATATTTATCTCTGGTCCCTTGAGTTTCAAATTATCGAGAGCCGACTGCATTTCGTTATATAACGGTCAATACAAGCGATGTTAACATGACCATCGATACAAAATAAGCCTAACACAATTCAAAATCTTAACAACAAAACAAATACCCGCTATCTGTCATACGAATGTATAATTTACGTAAACCGTAGAAGCTATGCAGTCGGGTTAATCTGTAGCATAATGCAGACAGTCGCCGTGATAAATTATTCCTTGAAAATATAATATTCTTTTGCCCTGCTGTAATTACAACTACGCCATTATGCATTGTCTCATATCTCTAGTTAAAGAGAAGTAAACAAAAACTCAATTCTCTTTTCAACGTACCTAACACAATACTCTCTTTAAATATTTCAAACAGTTCCTGTATACAATTTAAAGCTTTTTTATGAAGACTAATTTACCTGAGTTATCTATATTTATCATAAATAATTCGACGGAGACTGAGAAAGGATTTATGTGGAACTTGGTACCCATTTAAACCTCAAATCTTTTGCCGGCGAAGACAGTTATTTGTACGTTGATTTGAGATATTCATATTATTATTAATATTACCCCCACACCACCAGCAACTCTACTCTATAGTGACAGAACCGTGTTAGCCCAGTTAAACGTGTAACTATACTTCCCTAATGAGCCATTGCGTTCGAACCCCAGCTGTGTATCAACGGATTTATCTTCGTGAGCAATTAAGCCTTGCTAATACGGGAAATTATTTTGCAAATTAAAGAAAAATTACGAACGAAACAGTTGTACAAATGGATTTGGGGAGTTACGTGTTTAAACATACAACATTACTAATACAGCCGAGTCTATTTTAACGAAAATATTAAGACATACCTATGGGAATATAAACAGTATATGTTTATATTCCCATAGTAAACCTGAATGATTAACAATAAATGTTTTGAGTTCTTTGCATAATGTATAATGATTTTCTTTTAAAAGCTTTATCTTTATTTTCAACATTTATAACGAATTGCGAGCAAATAGTAATCATTTCATAACTGCAACGTTTTATTAAAAGCGCTTTACAAATATGTTTTATAATATATTTCTTACGATTCCACTTGCATTTACACGCGACTGAGCATTTTCATCAACAATTTTAATATTTCAACAATATTTTTTCTTGAAATAATCGCGTATATTCGATTTATAACCATAAATAATACTATAAATGGTTACATACAAGAACATAGATGATAAAATATCTACTAAATTTATAGTTTGGTTACCTTAGTTAGATTGAAAAATGAGAGTAGTTAGCACTAACTATGAATCCCGTATATCCTAATCAAGTTATTTCAGTTATTAAATTTAATTTTCGAATTAAAATTAATAACTGAAATAAAAATAATATAATTTTTTCTAATAAATTTCGATTTCTAAAATGACTGACAGACTTCAAAAACTCAAAGATGGTTTAGTTTTTGTTTCAAATTTTGGAAATGGTTTCGTTGACCGCAGGACAAATATCATTACCTAAACCAAATTCAAAATCACGCTTCCTGATAATACAAAATGGCTAAATCAGTATTTCAAACGTTCGTTATCTTATATCAACTATGGCATAAAAATCTCCATATTTCCATTTCAAAAATGCATAAGAGAGCATTTTATATGAGTTAGCTATACGAAACTTTACGGTTTAACAAAAATCTCTGTTCAGTTTTATGTCAACCACGGGATAAAATACGTCCGCTTCGCTAAGTGCATGAGGCACTAGACATGACACGAGACAGGCGGCAGTTTGGAATAAAAAAACCTCCATTTACGCTCAGCAGTTTATAATTATTACTATGATTTTAATTTTTTTTTTACATAGCAGGGCAAACGCGCTTACGGGACGCCCAAAAAGGGCAGTCATCGAAGCCAATGAACATCCATTTTAGTGGGTGCGTTGCCGGCGTTTGAGGGAGGAGTCTGCTCTTTTTGAAGTTATACTTCTTTCGGGAAAAATTATGAGAGTAAATTTATACGATGCGCGCGCACACCGTCAAAAAAAAACCGACACCCTAAATATTTTAAACAGTTGGAGTCCTCCCAGGGATGAACCCCACCGGGAGTAGGTTGATTCTACAGTTCACTAGTTCGCAAAAGAAGCGGACCATGGAAGACTTCCAGACAATCAATGTGTTGGATCATTTATCTTTTATAGCCAAGTAGATTATCAGCTTTCTTTGTCCAATCCCGTGACGTTGATTTTTGGGTTTAAGACCCGTTTCTCAAGTCACAGTCACCGCCTGAGCACACATTTGACAGCTCAAGTAGAAATGAACGCAGATTTAAGTTTAATACTAGAAAACAGGCCTAAGGCAATCTAGTGTCTACATTCACCGGGGAGCAAGTATTATTATTAAAACCCCATTGGTGCACTCTTCTCTCAACTTTTTGAGATTATTATTGTTTAATATTATCTTGTCTGAATATGTTACTCTCGGATATTGTTTAATCAATATAAATAAAAATGTATCGCAAAATATGTTGCTCAAACAAAAGCTCAAAACTCGAAGACGGCTGGACAAATTCGAAAACACATATAAATCGAATTTACATATAAAAATCGTTATTCATTACGCAGCGTAATTAAATAATAAACGAGTTACTGATCTGAAATGCCATATGTATGTTCGTTACAAACCTTTCTTTAATTCACACAGTAAAAACGATTGTGAAATCATCGTGAATATTTATCTACTCATGCGGAGCCGGGGCGGATTGCTAGTATGACAGTCAATTGATTCATAGTCGATTTCACAAAAGAAATCGCTATTAGACGTACTGGATCTATACTCTATAGTAATATACTGGGTTTAATAATATTCTTAGATTTATGTCTAGAATAAGTCAAAAACAAAAACTTGTTGGTTTTAGTAGGTGGTTCCTGGTGGGGTTACGGTTATATACATAACTTTTTCGTTAAAAAATAAATCAGTGGCGCTACAACTTTTTTACGTCTGGACCTCAGATTTCTGTATCTGTTTCATGATCACTTGTCAATCTAATAGACAAGTAGGTGATCAGCCTCCTGTGCCTGACACACGTCGACTTTTTGAGTCTAAGGCAAGCCGGTATTTTCACGATGTTTTCCTTCACCGTTCGAGCGAATGTTAAATGCGCATAGAAAGTAAGTCCATTGGAGCACAGCCGGGGATCGAACCTACGACCGCAGGGATAAGGGTCGTACCCTGAAGCCACTAAGCCAACACTGCTAGTTATAGCTAATACCAATTTAAATAATTGATTAAAATAAAGTAGTTTCAGTTCGCATTTTAACAAAAACCCCAAATGGCGATCATCTTATTTCGAAACAACTCAGAAAAGTTCACAATATCCGTAGCGCTAATGTATTAAAATCGTAATCGCTATTGGCTTGTGAATATTACCTAAATGATTTCCTTTTTAATATAAATTAGTATCACAGACATCCCCACGGGACTCAACTTCTAGGTAAAAACGCATTTGAAAACGTTTTCAGTAAAAGCATACTCGAGCATAGTGACTCGAACACTAGCTCGCTTTGTATAAGACTGAACAATACCTTGTTGACCACCTGTTAGAGACTCCACTAAGTCTGAAAGGGCAAGTATTATGGGCCCTTATGAGTGTTTATTTAGTAAGTGTAAACAGTTGAAAATGAAAAACGGAAATGCAACTGCTTTACTAGGCTGGAAAAAACGGCACTCTTTCATTTATTTTGATATAAAAAAATATTTTCAACAAAAGCCTATCCTATTTCAGAACACGATTGAATTTTCAGTCCAATATACACTGAATAAATACAACCAGAAAACCATTCAGAAAATATTATTACAATGTACATTCAAAACGACAAAGCAAAAACGATACATTGAAAAAACATTGAAAGTGTATTTCGATTAATATCCAATAGCGTACAGTGAAAAATGGTTTCTACTGTGTTGCGAATACAAATGATATTACAATATAAATATTTAATTTCACTCTCGACACATGGTGCGTGCAGACAGAACTATCCACGCTTGTATTGTTTTTCAAACAAGGTATTATTTAACACCGTCAAAACACTTCAGTTTCAGCAAATTTGTTGCGGACATGCAATCCATCACGGTTGAGGATAGACGAGTCAAAACTTCATGAAACCAATTATAGCTTGATCCGCGAGCTATCAACACATTTTGCCGATAGTTTTAACCTTTAACGCTCTTTATAATCCGACTTCCAACATAGAGGATACTCAGGCCGAACACCTACTTAAAAAAGCTGTGTCTGCATTTCACATCCGAGAGCTTTGAGATAAAAAATTTAAATAGTTCACACATTTTATGGACTCAGATTAATTTAATATAGGTTTTTCATAATAGTACTTCAACTATAATCTTGTTTGTAATGCTTAATGAGGTTAAAGTTTTTATTTTGTTGATTTGCCTATCATTTTGTTCCTTGTATTTATGTTTTCTGTTTTTATATGATTTGAATGTCTTTAAATGTAATTTTAAATTTTCTTGTACATATTTTAAACATGCATATTGTTTTAGAACTTATAATTGTGCTAGGATAGGAGGAGGAGGCTAGGAAGTTAAAACCAGTTGTAATTATTATCCAATAGATACAATAACATCGAACTTCAAGCATTCAGCCCTACAATTACACGATTTTATAACTATAGTACCAATAAATGTAAAAGGAATTTACGAATAATTGCAGCGCAAATTCTATAGAAAGGTCATGTTTTGTCGTCATCACAATTGGTATGACCTGAATCTCAAAGAATGTACCTTTGCCGTTGTCATTATAGAAATATCAACTCAATTTATACTTTTGACAAATGGTAAATTTCAAAAGAATAATAATGAGGTATTCTAATGGCCTAATTACCGACATTCTTGAATATAAAATACATAATTTCAATTAGTTTCAAGCACCATTCCTAATTTTAGCTGAACATCATTTTATATGCTTGCACGCTAGAAGTGCTTTGTAGAGAGTGAATTAATTAATATATTTGTGCCCAGTAACACTGATCATAGACAAATCACTAAACATACCAAAAACAATAGACATTATTTAAAAAGAAACATCGTGGGTGTGGATGTTAATCTCCGGAACTATTTAACCAAGTTGACACTTTACATGCGCGTCGATTGCAGGTTTCTATTGCAAGCAACAATTTAACATGCCGTGTATGATAATTACTAAACTTTTTTAACTTGTTATACGTTCGTATTTATATTTTAAATTTAAGCAATATTATAAATAAATGCGCGAACAGTTTATTTCTATTTCTAATAATTAAATAAAGTGATTCTTTAGTTTGTATAGAATAAAAAATAATTCACAACTCTATAGAGCAATATCCTTTACTGAAGAATACTGCATCCTAGGGTGAGATTCAGAAAGACGATTTAACAAGAACTATATCTTCCGTTTGTCAAAATTTAAAACGTTTATGACATACGGAAGTGACACTAAGCGCTAAGTTTCGTTTCTGAATCTTGAGATAAGTGACGAAATATATCTAGTATAACGATTAAAAAACTCACCCGGCGGTGGTTGCAATTTCTGGTTATTCCATACAACCAAAATCTTCGCGAGGCTGGGCGTTCGCACCAATTTTCTGATGAGCGTAAACAGACTATCGACGCGGTCATATGTCAATATGACAGCCGTGAAGCCTGGCGCCTTTGGTGCTGTCACTGGGAGGAACAGGGGATTTACGGGCCCGTACTGCAAACAAACAATTACATTTTGAATTATCCTCCGTAGCGTTCATAAGTACGTAAAATATTTTTTTCGGTTGACAAAAAACTAAGAAACAAAAAATTAACATATTTCATGTAGTACGGGGTACATTATACAAAAAAGATTTTCATCTGTTTTGATAAACAAAAGTTAAAACTTTATGAAATTAGCACATAGACCTTAAAATCTTCAAAACTAGATCAGAGCCAAAAATCAATTATGTCAAGGACTTCCTGTTCATCCCGACTATTCTCTGAGGGCCTCTCCGAACATCAAATGGATTATTGAATACCTAAGTTTCGCGTTAAATAATGGAACTATTTGCTTAGTCATCCCAACGTCGAGCCTGGGGACATTAGTATTACCCAAGCTGTCTGTTATGATTTCCATATAGATTGTTGCGTAGTATTCAACATGATTTCACTATCGACTTAGCTTAACTTATAATATAGATAAATAGTTAACTTTATCATCATCAATGGTTCTGCAGGTTTGTAGGTTTCTATGGAGGGCATTATGGTGACAATGCCAGAAGACTTGTGAATGAAATGCCGGCCTGTATGTTGGTACGCTTTTTCTTAAATCGTATTGACTTTAATCTCCATCGCAATCTATCTTGGGCTTTTTGTGTTCAATCCAAAAAATGGATTGATTAACAATACATAATCAATATGTGGAACCAGTGCAGTGCAGTGGGCAGCTGGTTCTACATATTGATAGTCTATATAGATCCAAGTATTTCCGAACCAATTTTTAAAAAGCCGGCAACGCACTCATGAGCCCTCTGGCATTGAGAGTGTCTACAGGCGGCGAAATAACTTAACATCAGGTGAGCCTCTTACTCGTTTGCCCCCTGTTCTATAAAGAAAAAAAAAAGAAAAAGTTTTAAGTATTTGCTCCCAATTACTAGGAAAAAATAGTTACTACCTTTCATAGTATAAGTAATCCTATAATAATTGTTAAATAAAGGCTATACGCCTACGATTTATTATAATTTACCCGAAACTCTTGAATGGGTACTGCATTTCAGACAGTAGTAAAATTCTTTGTAGTAATATAATTTGTAGAAAATGCCAAGGCGATATGATAGCGACCTCGAAGCCTCCAAAATGCGGTGAGTTCGGTATTGCCACGGTTTTAGTGGGTATTGGCCAGTCGCCTCCGCAGTTTCTAGTCCCCGAAACAATGTTACGAGTCTAAATACGGTCATATATATAATAATCGGACACAATAATATCAAGAGAAACTGTCTCTTGTTGTAACATTGGATTGGTTCACGCTATAGATAACAATGGTATGCGTTTTATGCATGAGCGCGATTTAGATATCATGTAGCCTAGATTATAATCTAACCCAGCTGATAAGTAAGGCGAATGTGACTTCATAAGTCACTTTATAGAGTTCCATAGCCATGGCAAAAATGGAACACTTGATCATGTCTTTTCTATCTGTCCATGTCACATACTTATCAATCCTACCTTTGACGTTCCTAAACCCCTAAGTCAACGGTCTAAAGGCTATATTTATATAAAAAAGTTAAATTCTAATAAAATATAGGCTGTTGATCTCAAGGAGCACTTTCAAGTCTTTTGAGATGAAAATGTGCTATCATTTTGAAATTTACACAAGACTATGAAAAACAAAGTATTGCTGGCGAAATATAATGGCAGTTATTAACATATATCCCTAAACTACGGAACCCCATAAAGGCCAAACCTGACTCCCACTTGGCCACTTTTTAGTGACGTTGAAGTGGTGTCGCTCAATTATGCTATACCTGAAGAAATTGTAGACTTTGTAAAGATGTTTCATTTAATTCCTACAAAAACGAATACAACAAGCAGCTAGTGCCATAATTTAAAACTTGAAGGAGGCTCGACGCGTATGTTTTTATATTCGAGATATGAGCGCTTTTGCGAATCCTGCGCACTAACGAAGGTAGGTAATAGATATATTATGTGGTCTTGTCTGTGCGGAAAGAGAACCGTCGCGGGCGTGTGGGTTTTGCGAATTCGCGTCTGGAGTATGGGCAATATAATTTTAATTTGCTACGCGGCGTTTAATTTATTCACAAAGATTATAATTTTTTTGTTTCATATTATGTATTAAGATGATTGACAAACTATAATGACGTAATACTTGTCAAAATAACAAATTAAAGTCATTTAGCACTGGTGCGACCTCAAATCCCACGACGGTTCTGTTTCCGCTCTACTCAGAGAGATTATGTATAAAAGTCATTATTTTCCTGAAAGTAACGGCGTTGTGCTGACATATATAGTAACATAAAAAACCATGTTTTAATAGCAATAATCTTAATAGAATTGGGATCAGTCTAATAGATTGGCAATTAGTTATCCAGAATATTTTATTTCAATCATCTTATTGGGTTTCGTTAACAATATTATAGGTATTTGTACTACTCAATTTGTACTACTCAAATCAATAAATGGTATGTAAATAGCAAATTGTTTTGAGAATTTATATTTTATACATTAAATTGTTTATAAATATTTCGAATAAAACCTATTGTAGCCACGAAATTAGCTATCCTATGCTACAGTAGTACATACCGGCTACAGTCGAATCATAATAATTCGTGGTATTTTTAGTTCCTACAATATTGAAATTTGATCACGATATATGACATTAATGAGTTATTAATCTTATTAAATAACAAGATTTATAATAACTAAATAATACTCTTTATACTAATCGAAATTTATTCACGGACTGAGGGAAAACTAGAAGGACTAAAACACAATTTTTTGTAAATAAAGTAGGTCTAGAAGTATTGATTCAATTGTCGCGTTTAACATTTAAAGACATTAAGAAATAGCACACAAAAGCGGCCGCAATAAATAAACAATGTTTTTACAACGTACCTAAATGAACACTGACCTAAGTAAATATAATCTGGGCCAATCATTACCAATCAAATATTTACAGCTAACCCTCTCGATTGATATCATTTCAATACGTCAGACAGTAAATTCTTAGATACGTAAGATTAAGTCAATACTAAAATAATCACATAAGTATTCGAGCATAACATAAAAAAAGGTTTCCATTGTTTAAAAATGTTTTTTTTTATTAAACTTTGTAAATGCAAGACTGCAATTCTTATATTCGTGACTGGTGAAAGCTTTTTTCTGGAAGTGGCCTAGAGCTTAAATGATAACGCGATGACGTGAGTCTAATGTGTTGATGGCCCTTTTCAATATCTTAGTATATTCAATAATTCATTTAGCGAGAGGTAGACCAAAGACAAATATTACAAACAATATTTGTTTATATTTTGAAAATGATTAATAGTTGTTAGGTAATAAAATACTATACATGTTGTTATATAAAAAAATACGATGATTAATGCGGATTTGTGGCATTTCTTAATTATACAATTTGGTGTGAATGTGTATGGTGTGTTGTCAAAAAACATTTAAAAAGTCAGAACTTACCAAATGCTCTGGCATATTCCAATCTTCATACATTCTTGCTGACAATGGAAAAACTTTTTCATTTAAAATTTCTAACGTCGTCATAGTGATTTTCTCTATGTTAGAAAAGTATCTTTCATAAACCCATCTTAATTGCCAATATAATTCTCCACGTCGTTCTTTGCTCACTGAATGTACGATTTTTAATACATTTTTTATATTGTCCTCTGATATAAAAATTGCTATTCGATTCCAATCAATGTGAGAATTGAATGGCATTACTATAGTATCAGCTATAATTATTGGAATGCATTGCGACGCTAATACATCCATTAGAACAGTCTGAATCAATCTAGCACTTCGAACAACTAAACAGAATAATCCATGTTTTAATACCTCTGGATATGCAAATTGCTTTCCAGTAGTGTACTCACACCTCTTTGTAAAATCAATTCTCTCATTCCTACAACTGTCTAAAAGTAATAGGTCATTAGATGATGATGCAATACCTTGAAGTTCTACTAAGTAATCTTCTGGTATATTGATCTGTGTTGAAATTATTAAGTAATCTTTTTGTTTTGGCTGTGTACTGTTGATATTAGAAGCAATATGACTGTAGAGTGGTATTGATATGTCAAATCCATATCTAAAGGTCCATGTATCAAAGCCAGCTCCTGCTATAACTGCATAACTTGTGTTAAGGTCAATAACAGTATTGTAGTTTGGTTCGGATCCTGGCACCATATTAAAGATGAGATGATTTTCGCCATTGTTCCAACTGTGTAAAATAAAGTGTCAATTTAAGTCAGAAGGTTTATTTATGCAACAACTTAAAATAGATTGCCAATGCTATCAAAAATCACAGAGGTAAAGCTTTTTTTAATAATCCTAAACAGCTAGTTCAACAATATCATGAAATAATAATTATCCACATCATGTTTACAAATTTGTTTTTGTGGTTTAGAATTTATTATAAGTAACCTGCACCACACTATCTATAAATGATTGATTTGATTAAATGTTTTATATTGTATTCGAGAATTATAAAAACTTACTGTTTTAATGACTGCAGAACTTGGGAGATGTGTGAGCTTGAAAAAGTGTTTTGATTTAATGTATCTATACTAGGCACAAACAAACACGCCTCATCAGGATTAGGAGTATAATATTTACTACTCTTTATTGTTTCTAAAATCTCAAAAAATTCTCTAGAAAAATGTGAAACTGATCTCCCATCATTAGTCCTGTAGTCTTTTGGTGGATATATGTATATTGTTATTTTATCATGCCCTCCTCGGCCACATTTATAGACATTAAAGCAATTCCAATACGTGCAATTTAACACACGAGAAGCCGAAAACGCATAATCATTAGAAAGTTTTTGAATAGGTAAATTAACAGCTTCCAAATTTACTACTTCATAAAAATTTGTCCGCGGTACACTTCCCGAAAAAACATACACTACAGTAAACACTAACGATATCACTATAAACAACAGTAGACCCACGAAGAACCTTTGATACAGAATTTTCCTATACGATATATTATACTTCGCTTGCTTGCTCGTTTTTAAAAGCAAATCCGCAGCCATTTGTGATTTCGACGATTAAATTGGATCTGTTAATTTATATATGGCACCCATCATTAAGTAACACCGTAATTTCTCATTCAAAAGTTCTTAATATTGTAAAACACTGTACAATGCTAAAACCTTCTCCATACACAAAATCAACTTGATATTGAGAAACGTCGAGTCGATCTGTCGAATGAACTGACAAATTAATATGACAGTGACGTTGAAAACTATCAGATGACTTTGAGTTTTTGTCAGTATGATATATTTTTACTGTGTCTTCAATATTTGTATAAACTGGGCACTGGCATAAAGTCAAAACTATTGCCATAATATTAAACAAAAAAATTGTATTGTATATATTTGTTATTAATTCAATTTATTTGCTATTAATTATATAGGTCAAGCATAGTAAAATACCAGTAAGTAAAAATACCATAAATATCCTCAAGTTTTACATAATTTAGTATTTGATCACAGCCGTAATGACGCTATGAATGATAAGTTTATGTGTCACAACTCACAACTCAAAACTCACATTTGACGTTTCAGCAAGTCACAACATATTGCCAATGAACATATTTTGTTTTTGTGTCAGTTTTGTGTTGTGCGTAGTTGTGGTTTCGTTTCTCATGGCTTAAATTATTTTAATTTTTTATTTTATTTTAATATTTCGGTTTGAGCTTGATCTGCGATGGCTTTATTACCGCCCGACCCTGTTTACACCATACGAAATGTCGACAATACACCGGTTTTCTCTTTGGCGTTTAACTTTCTACCCGGCGGTCTCGAGAGGTTACTAGCCGGTTCAAAGAATGGCTATGTTTATGCATACAACCTTCAGGTAAGATCCCACGTCAAAAGCATATTGAATGATGTTTACAAAGGTGCAACTACGCAGAAAATTATATTATTTAATTATCTTGTCTTCATATAGCTGCTCTTTGTTTACTACCCTCAATTTGTGACCCAGAAAAACAAATTTTCTTTATGATAATATACTTTAAAAGTAAACAGTATAGTGAGGTCAAAGAATTAATTAATATGCAAATATGAATTTATAAATAAATTTATTTCATTTTAAACATGTCTCAACAATAACTTTAAAGTGATGTTAAATATCGTATTTTATGCTTACAGACAAACAGAGTGCAACAAAAGATAAAAGTTGGTCAAGCTCCCATTCTTCATCTTTTACATACAGAAGACCAATTAGTTACTCAAGAAAAAGGTGGAAAATATAAAATATTTAATTTGACAAACTCTGGCTATCAAGAGGATACATTAATTGATATGGATTACCCTGGTTTTTGTCGATTTGAAGCCAACACAAAACTCAAAACACTTTATGTACCTGATAGGGAATCCCAAGTATATATTTTTAACTTTGCTGGAGAAAAGATTGGAAGTCTAAAACCAGAATTTTCAGATCCAAAGTTGGGAGATCCAATGTGCATGAAATACATTGAATTAGCACCAGAAAAGTCTTACTTATTAGTAGGGTATGAAGCTGGGTGGCTTGTTCTGTGGGATCTCAACACTAGTCAGGCGATTGGTAAACTCCAAACTAAAGAATGTCCCATGTCAGTGGATTTCTGTAAAGAACAGCAAAGGGGTATCATTGGGAATGCTTCAGATGTGATACAAATATTTAGTATAGGGAGAAAAGACTTGAGCTTGGTCCATGGTACAGATATAACAATAAAAAATCATGGAATTAACAAAGTGCAGTCTCGACTTGATGCAAAAGTTTTTGTTTCTGGTGGTTGGGATGGCCATATTCGAATCTTCTCGTGGTTTTCGTTAAGGCCTTTAGTTGTCCTAACTGAACATAAGAGAGCAATCCAAGATGTTGTTTATTCTACCCAGAAAGTATCCATGTGGAATGCTAACATAATGGCGGCAGGTGGCCTTGATGGAGTTATTACTCTTTGGGATTTGTACAATCAAAAGCAATGATTTAGGAATGTCATCAATATTCAATCTAATGTCATAGACATTTGAATGATTGATATTCTTTAATAATTATTTGCATTATTAAACAATTTTTACAATTATTGTTATGTATCAATCTTCAAATTATGGAAATTTACTTTAACACCAAAAGTTGACTTAGATTTGTAATGAATTTTTCTAAGTCACATTCAGCTATAAAATTGGATCTCATTTTTGTTTATTTGCCAAAAGCAAAATTAATTACAAAGTACAACATGGTATCTACCAATTGTGGCCAAGTCATTAGAATAAGTATAAATTTGTTACAATAAAGATAATAATAATGACTATTTTCCTTGAATTATTATTTTAGCACTGTTTTCTTTCAACAAGATTAAATTGTATTCAAAATTACTTTTGGTTTTCTTTTCCTAAGACTTTAACATAACTATTAGGTATGTTGTCCTATAGCAAGAAAATATTGTTACATTACTTATAAATTTACACTATGTAAATTTATAAGTAATGTTCATTAATAAAAATTATGTATTTGCAAATAGTTCCAATCTTTTCTACTTAAAACAAGATGATGTTCTACAATTGAAAGTGGAGTGAGACATATTTCGTTTTTTAAGGGTTTATGTGTAATGGACTGAGTCGCTTAGGTTTTGTGAATTACGTAGCAAGTCTAATCCCAAAGCCATATAAAATAAATATTAGTTTATTGAAATATATAAAATCCTTTCTATCCTCCACAATGTTCCAGCTATTGAAATGCACTTTACTCCAAGTGAGAACACACATTTGAGGGCAAGTTATAAAATTTTAAATTTTGTGTGGTTTTTTAAAACTAAAGAGCTTTCTTTCAAAATGAAATAGTGGCTATCTATATAGCATAGGCTTTAAACTCTTTTAAAAAAAGACTGGATAATTTCTCCAATGCGCAGATACGCACAAATTAATAAACAGATAGTGCTTTACCTACATTTATAATAATTATTTTATGGTCACACTAAAAAAATTAAATAAAAATGGATGTATATTTCATAATTATTTTTTATTTACATTTAAATTATTAATTTCAGGGCTTAGGTGCGTTTTTTTAAATATATTATTAAAGTTTAAACTATTTAAGCAAACATATCCCTAATGTTAAATCTAGGACTAGTACATAATTTAAAGATGAATTAGCTGCGGTGATTTCGCAGCAAAGTTTGTGATATGTATTTGAATTAATTTAGTATAAGTATTTAAAATTAAATTTAAACTTCAACAGTTTTCCTTGTCTTGGGAATAAGAGAATCATCGTCTGGAGTGACTTCTACCAATCTCCGCCTTTTTCTAAGTGGTCTGGAAGATTCAGATGTTTCCCTCACCTTGGTCACTATTTTTGCCATTTTGCTTCCTAGTCTTGTTATTTTAAATTTTGGCAATGTTTGCTCCGTGTTTGTTTCAGAAACTAAACTTTCTTTTTCACATTCCAGCCTAGTGACATCTTTATTGAGTTCATTTGTGCAGGTTTCCTTTTCTGTGTTAAAATTTATGTGACTATCTTCCGACTCTTTGGCTTCATTTTTATCATTGTTAATAGTAAAATCTAACGGGCCCTCTGTGTCGTCACTATTTACTTCAGTTTTTACTTTAACTCGATGTGCTTGTAAAAAGGATGACAAGGGGATCGGGATAGGAATTGGAAGAGGTATGGGTAAAATTACTGGATATGGAACCAAAACGGTTACAGGCGGTGGTTGACCTATGGCATGCGAGAAGTTTATTGGTGGAAATATTCTCGGCCTTTCTTGCGGCATCATAGGACGAGGTGGCATGAAACCGAAACGCGGTGGATATATTCCTGGATGTCTATAATCATTCATATGAGCAGGATTATCAAGAAAAACAGGTGGTGGCATTCCAAACATTGGATTAAACGGAGGTATTTGAGCGTTTATATTACTGGGTGGGGAATGAATATTACTATTTCCAACAGTAACTGATGAAGTTGGCGATGACCCATCTATAGAGGGGCTACACATTCTCAAGTCTTGCGCCTTTGGTGTAGTAGTATGATGCCGTATTGTTTGGGAGGTCACTGTAGACGTACATTTAGATGCTCTGCGCTTTCGTAAGTTCATCTTAGTCTGTCTTATTTCTTTTTTTGTTTCCGGGGATTTTTGAGTAAATGTTTTCTCATCTGTAGACTTTGGATTCATAAGTTTAGCAGTTGGAGCTATGGTTATCAACGGCATTGGTGATTTTCGATGACATGATGACTCAGATGTTTTTTCGTTGGTGTGCTTGGGTTCTGTATTTGGGGAACCAGATCTTTCAGACAATGGTGATACCGATCGGCTTTTACAGTTCTTCAACCACAGATCTGGAGTGATAAGATTGGATGTCGAGGAGCTGCTCACCAAATGGGGATTTAGATCAAGGTGCGCCTGAGTCTCTCGACAAAATATGTGCATTTTGTATTGATTTAGGCATTTATCCGAGCAAAACTGCAGCTGCGTTGCGCCATCCTGAAATTTAAAAAACATCGATTAGACACCCTTTTAAGACCATATCTTATTAGTGTAATAAATAGCAATCAGAAACCTTAAAATGGACATTTTGTTTTGGCTTGACAGTCAGGAAGCACTAGGTATAATTTAAAGACTATTTTGATTAACTTGCCATTTATATATGTATTTACGTTTTATTTGACTTATACTGCTTAGAAACGGAAAAAACTTTTAACAATAACAAAAACTAATCAATTTTAATGGTATACCTGAAAATCGACATAGGCAACCGTGTGCCTCACATGTCGACACCAATCGCACGTTTTCGCGCGCTTGAAATTTGCGCGCCTAGACTGACTGAAGCAAAGCTCTGAACAAAATACCGCCCCAGCCTGCTGTAAAGCGCCATTTTCACTTGTTATATTCTTGTTGCACCATGAACATTCATCTGAAATGCAACACAACATTTATTATAAATAATTTTATATATAGTGTTAATTGTTAGGGGTCAAGTCAGTATTTTAATTGAAAACACTTACGTCTTGTAATATTATAACGAGTACTTAAATGTTAATATATATTTTTATTAGAATATCTTTACATCATTCATTAGACTATAAAATTGGTTTGACATAAGTATATGTTAAATTTTTAAACTTACTTGTATTTCAAAAAATAAAAGTTTCTACTTTTATGATACGAGTACCTGCTTAGATGTGAGTAGTACAACAAAGCAAATTATTTTATAACTTATTAGCCTGTACCTGAGCCTTGCTCCTAATTTTTTAAATATTTCACATGTTGTTCGGTTTAATCCGAACCCACGTTCTCAGTCGCGTGTCAGGCCAAAAAGCTATAGTCCATTGAAATGTTACATGGGCTGAACATTTTATAGAGGATGCAATTTTATTTATGGGTTATGTAGGGGGGTCAATACAAGTTTAAACCCAAGTTTGTAGGGTTGACGCCCTTGTCCCCCGGCCGCCATCTTGGAATAAGATACCAAATCCATCGTACCAAAAATTTGTAAAGTTATATTTTGTAAATCGCTTTGTTTACAATTATGTCTATGTGACTTTTTAGCATAAATTCAAAATTCTAAAAAAAAGTAAAAAACTGAAAAAATTTCATTAAAAATTTTCTTTTTTGCTTAATGACTTTTCTTTTCATTTTATCAAAAAATTATCTAGAACAATTTTGTAGAGGATCCTTTTCTGAAGATTTTCTTTTATATTTTTTTAAATTTCATTAATTTGAAACGCTGTTACAGCGGTCCAAAGTTGACCGGGTTCGTCAATGCTCATGACAACCCGGTCAAAATATTTTTTTTATAATGGACTACTACGCCATTAGCCGACACTATTATTTTTGATACAATTATCTAGTGTGCTTTTATTCACTCGTTAAGCATTACTACTAGTAGGAAGCGTCGTGCACACATCATGGCGTCTTATTCCATCCTTAACACCTTTTGTTGTAAATTCAATCTGTTGTAAAATCTCTGATAAAGTGAAATTTCCTACCCATACGTGAATTGCATATAATTGAACACAAATTCAGAAACGCGATAGGCACAGGTTTTTCATTAACGAAGCCTCGTTTCAGACAAAGCAATGATATCTCGTTATGGACTTTATTAATTTATGTTTCGCGGACTAACGATTCCAGATCGGATTGTTCGATATTTGAGATTCTGTTCATTACGTTCGAATTATTCATTTGTTGATATCGCATGCGCCTATTAATTTTTGGCTCTTTCAAAATTAGTTTATTTCTTTAATTTGACTTAGGTACAATATCGTTCACAACACAATGCTTATTATTCAACGGTGTTTGCTGAAACAATAGAACTAAAACCTTTTATTTGTATTTATTTATTTTTAAGCTAAATAAATAAATGCAAATGTTGCCTGTACTAGACTTTTTATGTATTTCAGAAGTTGCTTATATATAAGTACATAATTTTTATTTAATTATTTTAATTGTAAATAAAATCAACAAATCTTGGTACTTCGAAACCTATACAACATATCAATATAATTAATTTAATAAAGGGACTCCATTTAATAATACATATATTTCAGTTATTATATTATATTTTGTAAGGCTTTTCGGTTTAGATTCAAAGAATGTTATTTTTACGTTGCTTAATTAATGGAATACTTGATTAAATATTTGTTGTTTAAATGTATAAATATATATTAATTTAATATTGAATTTGTTGTTGCCATCGCGCTCAAATATATTCTTGTCAAAAATTTCGAGGGCGAAGTCAAGCCATACATTAACAACGTAATATGAAATTCTTACAAAACTTATTCAGAAGTAGAGTGCTAAGAAAATCTTGTTGCGTTATGACACGTAATCCCCTAACGGGGCTTTGATTGAAATAGACATATGTATTTGAGTTTCATTTATTATTTATGTATTTACCATTTTATTCTTACCAAACTCAGAACCCCGGGTGATACGCAACGTGCTCTAACCGCAATTCTACAGCGGTGTTTACTCTACGCTAATATTTAATAGCAAGTGATATGTTACTTCATTATCGAATTCTCTACATTAGTGCCTCTAGCTCGTCTTTCTCGTTTCAGTAACAGAATACCCGTAGGTAACCGTATATGCTCTTAATCATCGCATTTTAACCACAAACTTCCACAATTTCATTTGTGGCACACACACAAAATATCTTATATAACATGTTTGGTATACGATACGCGAAAGCAAATTCACGTTCATTAGGAATAGTAAACCAGCTTTGTGATATCAAATTTGTAAATACGAACTAAACATCGATGTAGCCATACAAATATTTATCAAGGGTACTATGATTACTTTGTACAAAAATTTCTACGGAAAATACGATCCATTATGAATTTAATATAGATAATAATTCCTAGAAAACCCATTGTCTATAATCTATATAATGTACGAAAAGTAAGTATGAGGGCGAGGGCGTCGAACCGTAGGTCCAACTCTACCTTCGCAAAATATTTTAATTGTTATGGCATATTCTTCTTTAATTAATCTATAATGCTGTAGCTTTATTTAATTCGCCGAGAACGAAACTTTACAAAGCCCCGTAGTGATTCATCAATAAAGTTCTTCAGATGGATTTGGCAAAAGCGACTTATCTCTAATAAGCCAATTCCTCAGGATATATTTCACTGCCAAATTGTTTACACATACAAAATAACTCTCATACCTCGATACTACACTCTTGGAACATAATGTCCGTAACGGCCGAAGAGTATCACGAAATAAAGCGCAGGGCAAGACCTTTTTACACCGCGCCATTCTTAGGATATCCTACATGAAACCTTTCGCTACCCAACTTCCAAAATGTACAAAGAAACTTCTAACGGTTAGACAACCATACTTAATGGCAATATGCTGGCTTTTTTGAAAACAAACACCGACCACACCACATCATACACAACGTAAAACTTATAAGGTACCCAAAACGCACTTTCTTCGCTCAGCGCTTTTTCTCTTTCAGAAGCCCTTTCTCCACATCTTTTACCACTTTCTTAAAACAACATTTTCACTATTGTTTCAAAACTTTATACATCCATTAATAATATTAAGTAACGTCTTCTCAACGTGTCCTATACTTAAAAGGAAAGTATTCTTCTCGTTTAATCATACAATTTTAAGTGTTATGTAGCATTTATTAATTAATATGTCAAATGGAAAAGACTAGCTGACCGCGGACACAGGGAATCCTAGTATGAGGGCTAGTGCACATTATCTTTTAACATCCTTTGTGTAATATTTTTTTTGTTTTCTTTTTATGTGCTATTTGCACTACATTACCAATACCAATCAGGCAGTACAATAATTTTAAGTTACAGCAACCCCATATCGACAGTATGCGAGGGTGCAAATGAAAATTTCAAAGAATAACAGCTCGGCAACAATACCCCTACCCATTCCAGGAATATTATTAGCGTTTCCTAATATGGATAGTGATAAAACATAAGTCGTACTTATTACATTAAGTACTCCATCTATTTTTATCAGTACTGTATTTATGAGTTCTATATCATATCAGGTATTTTGTTATCACTAAAAAAGTAATCAAAGCCATAAGACTCTACAATGAAGACATGTATTATTTTAAACTTTTAGTGGATTTCAAGAAGGGCTATCCATAGGTTCTTCAATTACCAAAAGACCTCTTGGCCCGTTTGAAAATGTTTGAAATGGTATACATACCGGTGCCCTTACTCTGCAACTTCCAATAGCGACAGCGATAACGATCCCGATGTTTGTGTATGCAAGTTCGATTTCGATTCTGTCAATAGCCCTGATCACAACCTAGGGTAGAAGAACTCATTACTCGGATCCAAATCGCTGTGACTATCGCAATTCCAAGTTACAGAGTAATAGACCGCAAGCCCATGAACAAAAAATACCTGTGAAATGACCCAACGTGAATTACGTTTAGAAGACTGTTACTATATCTGAAAATAGCTCTGAGCACTATGCCGTCATTTCTGAGCGGTACATGTGAGTACGTGAGTGAATGGAATTTCTCAGGTACAAGTGAGGAATTTCGACTAATTATGAATGTACGGCTTTGTTATAAGTGTATAGATGATTAAAAATAAATGTTGAAAAACCTAGTGCCGTACTAAAGTGATGGTGCCGGAAGTCGGTGCAAATTTTTAATTCGACGATAGTTGCAGAAGCAATATAGGTCATTTATTACTGTACGGCATTGGTGTAATTCCTTTTGGACACATATACAGATACTTTACCCGTAAACGCCGTACTTATTTCCCGCGGAGCGGTCGAACGCCAAGGGTCGCAACATATCTCTGATTAGCATATAGGTGATGATGATATAGAACAACATAAAATTAAATGATCTTGAGAGTACTTCACAAATAGGTAACATTTTCCAGCATGCCGTACATTTTTTGTGGAACACTTAGGTGTATGGGGTAAATTACTTCCCTCCGAAATAAGTCATTTTCCGGTGACTTTTATCTGTACGGCAATTACACAGGTTATTAATACTTTAGACAATCTTCAATAAAAGATAAATGCCGTACACTTTCGATAGTCCGCTAGTCTGTGAAATAGCAGATTATACCACCGCCTACCAATACAGGGCGTCCCAAAGTTATGGGACATGAAGGGAAAGTACCTTAAATATCGTAGATAGGGTATTTTACTAAAAGAAGACTTTATGTTATTTTTAAAAGTTAGTAATTCTGCATTCGATTTCCAGACGAGGCAAGTTATTTTTACAAAATATTTGAATGCAGAATTACTAACTTTTAAAAATAATATAAAGTCTTCTTTCAGTAAAATACCCTATCTACGATATTAAAGGTACTTTCCCTTCATGTCCCATAACTTTGGGACGCTCTGTATTATATTTTTATTTTTGTTAAAAATATTTTTCCTTTACCTCTCTCTGCTGGTACGATATGGCTGTAAATATACTTTACAGCCTTATGGTAGTATACTCAGATACGTACAGTTATTAATGACCTTAAGGGACACAAACGTCGTCGAAGTTTTTATCAGCTGTAAAGAATAATCTGGAGTAAAATGTACGGCATCTGGTTTTTTTTGTTTATTTATATTTGTTACATATAAAATAAAAATAATCTTTGAAAAAATTACTCCCCATATTACTCTAGGAATATTTGAAAAATCATCTAAATTTCGGAAATTTCATATATTTTTTATCATAATATTTTTATTTGTTACCATTTATAATGAAATTTTAAATGACTATAAGGTACAACGGTAATATTTAGTAACATTATGTAAAAAAACAAGTTGCCGTACATTATTCTCTGATCGTACAGCAGTAAGAACTCGGTAAATCCTGAAATTTCGATAAATATTTATTTACACAAATATTAACTATAATTTTTGGACGGCATAATTATAAAACATTATTGTCCGTGTTAAATAATATTTTGAACATGTTGCCGTACATTTTACTATGACCTTAGGGTATATGGGTGTAGGTGTAGGGTTGCGACCCTTGGCTTTCGACCGCTCCGCTAGAAATATGTACGGCGTTTACGGGTAAAGTATCTGTATATGTGTCCAAAAGGAATTACACCAATGCCGTACAGTAATAAATGACCTATATTGCTTCTGCAACTATCGTCGAATTAAAAATTTGCACCGAGTTCCGGCACCATCGCTTTAGTACGGCACTAGGATTTTCGACATTTATTTTTAATCATCTATACACTTATAACAAAGCCGTACATTCATAATTAGTCGAAATTCCTCACTTGTACCTGAGAAATTCCATTCACTCACGTACTCACATGTACCGCTCAGAAATGACGGCATAGTGCTCAGAGTTATTTTCAGATATAGTAACAGCCTTCTAAACGTAATTCACGTTGGGTCATTTCACAGGTATTTTTTGTTCATGGGCTTGTGGTCTATAAGGGCCTACAAAATTTAAAAGTATCCACAAAATCGGTGTCATAGACCAAGACTAACAACGCCATTTGTTTACAATCAACCTGAATTAAATATTTTATGAAGTACCTTTGTTCTTTTGTTCTGTTTGATGCTCAGGGCTCGAAGGTTCCCTTGCCCGAGACGCCGCCCATCTCCGTAACTCCAAACGCTCATAACCGTACCAGCCAAGCAGTTCGTTCATAGCTGTCTCGGCAAATTCCTGTCGAAAAATTGGTAAATTAGTATACATTAACCAGTATTCTATAATGTAAATTGTTGCTAGTATTATAACGCGAGTTCAACTACATTCAGTCTACTTTCTGCCTTAGTATTGTAATTCTGTTTTTTCTATGAAGCAGAGTACAAAAAGTTATGACAGTGACCAGAGTAAATATTGAATTGAGACATGATTCTAGATTCAATAAAATGAAAAAAAATCGTGTTACGTCAATTATAGTAAAAAATCATATAATGCATGTATTCGATATAACTATTAAATACTAACGGTAATACATATTATAAGTCATAAGTCATAAGTCTGCATAATAAAATATAAAAAAAGCAAAATGCATCTTTTATTTTTATAACCTTACTTCTTCCTTTCTTCTTTTAAAACCTTACTCTAAAATCTTACTTCTAATATAAACATAAAATTTTATAGTAATTTATATAGCTAATTTTTAAGCGGGGGCTTCGAGTATATACTCGTATAAAATTATTTTACTTATAATCAAAGTACGTGCGTCAGATTATTCTTTACAACTAATTTAATATAAGATTCAACTAGAATATACAGCATAAAAACTTGCTTTATCTGAAGTAGCTATTTACCGTAACAATTTCCTAAGATTCAAAAATAAATTTTATTTTTATACCATATTCTTAAATAACACGATTTGTATAAAATAAATTGTCTTGCGTGACCTCCTTTCATTGGATTTTATAGCCGTTAGCCGTGTAAATACATTTGACGGAATATATAAGAAGTCCGGCGAGAGAAGGCGTAATTCAAGAGGTATCTGTGCCGCTATAAAAAGATCGAACTTTTCATAAAGTACCTACGCATATTCATTACAATACCTCCTCACGTGTGTAAATTTTTCTATTTATATTTCATTATCATATTATTGAATTTGTTACAGGTGCTCCAGGTGAGCTCCGATGATGTACCTAATGATGATGAATGTAAATACGAGATTGAAAATGGACGAGAATAAGGTTTTAAGGACAAATAATATATTTAAAAAAAATAAAAACATAATAAACATAATAATTATATATTAAATAAGTACTCAGTGTTCTTCGACCTCGATAAATAAAAAATTGGTTTATAATTATTTCAAAATTTTCATGAATCTACTTTTCTAAAAATTTTCTTTCTAAGCTAAAATCGCTGAATTGTTATTGATAAATTAGGATCGAAGAGAAACAAATATTTTCTTACACACCACTTCTTTCTGAGTTAAGCTTCAACGTTTAACACTTAGATCAAAAATAGTAGTCTAAGATAAAAAAATTATTTTACATTAAACTAAAAGGGACCACTTCTTTTTAGTTAAGCTTCAAATACGTTTAAAAAGCAGGTTGCCTGATAGAAAAATATGGCACAGAACGCCCCCACGCTTTTTCACAATAATACCAGTATTTTTTGTTCATTACCATTTTCAGCCTAAATTAGGAATTATTTTTTTATTTTTTAGTTACATTTTTTTGCATTGTCATCGATCTTTGACAGGTGCGCAAAATTTGAATAAAATCTGTCCGTTTAAAGTGGGTCAAAATCGAGTCCGAAGGAGCGGTTACATACATACATACAGGTGAAGCTAATATAAAGCGTGTAATAAACTAATGTATAATTAATGCATGTCATTAAGTTAATCAGAAAAATTACAACCTTTTTAGGTCTGGGCGACATATTTCTGTATCTGTTTCATGATAATTTGTCAATAGGCATAGGCAAGTAGGCCTGCTGTGCTTGACACACACCGTCGACTGTCCGTATCTAGTCAAGCCCGGTTTCCCACGATGTTTTCCTTCACCGTTAGAGCGAATGTTAAGTGCGCACATAGAAATAAAGTCTATTGGTGCACAGACGGGGATCGAACCTCAGGGATGAGAGTCGCACGCTGAAGCCACTAGGCCATCACTGCTCGTCATTAGATTTGTTTAAATATCAGAAATAGTGGTATTCAATTATACTTGGTCATTAAGTTAATAGCAACTCAAATTAAATATCATTTAACAAAAAAACGGTGTTCAGTTGAATTTAATGTAAAAAATAAAATAGGTACGATTTTAAATACATTTTTAAATTTAAGAAACAAGAATGAAATGTAATGGTAATGTTAATAAATAGTCAATTTGATTATACGAAAAAGAGTTCGAATAAAACTCTTCGAACGTGGAATTTTAGGAGTGAATGTTTAAAAATAATTAATTGAAGAGTTCGATAGATAGGTATGATTATATCAAGCACTATATTATTATAGTACGATTTTTATCAAATTAGTAAACGATAGCTCAGTCATACGTCTTCATAAAGATCTTTATTATCAAAGGGAGGGCATCCTTTGACATGTGAAGCTAGCACACAATTAATTAGTGTCTTCAAGGATAATATTATCATTACATAAAGTACCATGTATGTTTAAAATTTTATAATAATATATTGTGCAGAGGATTTAAAACCAAGAGCGATGTGACATTTAAAAAATATTTTCACTTTTTGAATTTCGAATTCAACAATCTTATGGGACAGCAATAATATTAACGCATTGGACAAGCGACACAAATTTTTACTTGTAGACAAGGCAAAATGTTGCCATCGTTTTAATATAAAACAATCACCTAAAATATGATATTGTGCTAAAACCTGTGCTGCGGCTGCGTTGCTAAAATGGTTACCCTGCCCACCCATTAATCAGTTTCGTAACAAACATTTCCCTTCAACGTGCACAAATGATGCAGATGTCTAATATCTATTCGGCAATAATATATAAATCAGTATTTTGTCGAGATCTGAAATTTAACTCATCCTATTTGTACGACTAATAACACCTAATACAAATTCCCATTTTACATTATTATTTCACGTTTTGATCTTGATATCTTTTTTAGATCAAAACGAGCGGTGTAATACAATTCTACGAATATTTCTTCTTTAGTAACATTTGCAATGTCCACTGGTTTTTTCGTACAATTAAATTTAAAAGTAGCATAGTTTATTTTCATCTTTATATTTCGATTAATAAAACAATAAAATCGCTGTCGCACAGATGTAACATAGCACCGTGCACCAATATCGGTATCGTATAGAACATAAATGCTTTTAATGGCAGTAGCACGGCGAAGGTAAATTTAGGAGCGTTCGCAAGAAACCCAATACCCGACCTACGCATGCCAGTGTTGCTAGTAAACTTACACTGGAAATTACAAAGGCGATATTATTAACAACAAAGAAGCTTCTGTTCTCTCTTGTTACTTGATAAATTGAAATACAATAACGTGTTGTAAGCTCCACTGTAATTTTATTAATTTAGTATCACATAAAATAAGGAGTCATATCATTTGTATTAAGGCAAATAACAGGTTGTTTAAACTTAGTTTTCTGTTTTAAGGATAGTTTCAATTAAATTTCTTCATTATTTTTAACTTTTAAATTAAATAAAAGTATGTAGTTCCTTCCTCTGCAAATGAGTTGGGACCCAGGACTAGGTACACCATTTTGTGGCAGGCACGGCATGCTTTTTCCAATTGAGTATTATTTTACGATAATGAGGTCATATTATTACTTGTGTATTTAGGCGTAGAAATTTTAACATGTATGCTTAAAAATGTCAGATGTGTGGTCCCCTATGCTGTTCTAAGAATTCATTTTAAGACAAGATTAAATAAACTGACAATTATTAATGCCTCTGTTATAAGTAATATATTTATGGTTGGCAATAGATAACAGAGGCGAGACAGAGCAGTGGGCAGTGGGAACTCGGTACACAAAGATATCGCATGTCGGCGACCAGTCGAGCTGATAATTTACCTAATGCCGTGTAAAACGATCGCTCTGCTAATGTGAACGGAAACAAATATTATATTTATTCACTGTTCTGATAGATTTATTGGGTACTTTTTATATATTTACATAAAGCAGGGAACTAAGTTAGAGATCAATATATAGGTATAATAAATGAAGCAATCCGTAAATATATAAAAAGAACCCAATCATCGTCAAAGAGTCATCGAGAATTGGCGTTGTAGCGACACTGGATTAGTTTTATTTATACCAATATAAAATATTGTTTACTAAATATTTCTTCAGAGAGGTTTCTTTTTATTATTCTAAAAAAACATTATTACTGTATGTGCCTAAAAGAGTTAAAGCTGAATTCTATTTAATTAATTTATTTATTTGATTGTCTAGTATCAAACCAATAACTCCTAAAAAAATACACATTGACTTAATAACATCCGTTGGTTAAAAAGGATTGAAAGTATGTAGACACACACATCACTAACATAAATTTCATGTTAAACAGACAAGAAATAAAGACAAAATAAAACTGAATTCTAGTTAGACGTGTTTAAAACAATTTCTCACATATTTTAATCCTCATTTTTAAGTATATTAACGAGAGAAGACAAAATTAAATTTACATAATTAAAATGAAACTTTATTATTTTTAAGGCATCGTATTACGGTGTTTCCCTTAAGAGCCGAGTTGTAACATGAATAACTGTTCAGCTCGGTGTCGGTTTAACAAAAGCAGACTTTAATTAGCTAAAAGCATAGATATAATTGCCTATAGTTTATTATTAATTTGACCAACTTTTAAATTTCTTATATAGATAATAGCAGCTATCTTGGCGTAGTCGTAGTGCCGACTGCTCTAGATTCTACTATTACCACTAAACGTGTTTACTGCATAGAAAGATACATCGTTAGGAATCAAGAACAACTGAACATCAACATCAACGAAGAACATGTGTCTTTGGCTGAATACGCAAACATCGTCGTGTTAACTACTGTTGATTGTGTCAAAATTGTATAAACTAATATCTTATTTCAGACACTATTAAAGACAATGCAAATCATCAAAAATAAACAAAGTTTTATGAAGTATACTTTCATTTATTTGTGGTAGATATATATATTGTATGTATGTACATATATTGATGGACCCAGTTTATACCTTTTATATTATATTTTAAAAATTGTAATTGTAA